ATATATATATATATATATAACGAAACGTATCGTTTGGCATTTTTTCAACCCCCGAGCTAACGGCTCGAAAGTCCGCCAACGAGACCGAGGTTTCGTAAAATACGTACGACGCGTAGGAATCGAACACCCTGTATAACGAGGCGACTCTTATGTACAGAATAGGGTACTATCTTATTTACGGTGAAGTGGTTGTCGGCCAACTTAGAGGAGCGGCCATCATTCAATCAAGCCGGACAATTTAAACAGCCTGATTCACGCAGCGAAATCATTTAATATTTGACGTCAAGCACGATTATCGTATAACGGTGCGTAATGGCCGATTGTTTATACAGGTTGCAAGCGGCGCCGCAATTTTCAAATGGTGTATCTGCCTCCTGAGAACGAGATGTTGTTGAACGTTGTCGGACGGAGCAATGTTGCAAAATGATCCGGTCATTAGCGGCGGCAACAAGTGACGAGTACAATTACTCTTCAGCCGTTTGGTTTGCTGCTAATGGCCGAGCAAACCAAAGAACAGAAAAAGAACTTTGTGTTCGCTGGTGCAGTCTCCCCTTTTTCACCCCATTCGGTCGCCGTTCCACGGACTTTGACGACACTAGGCTCGTTTTGTGATTCCCAATAATAATTCTGTGCCCGAATAAATCGAGCCAGCGGCGCTGTATTATTTCGACTTCACGCTCGAACGCGAACCCGGTCTCTCTCCGGAGAGCGAGTACTTTTATTAGGTTCTCCTTCTGCCAGCCTGTGGTGTCTCTCTATTTATAGACACGGAATTATCTTCATCCGCCGTAGAACAATACGGAGCGGTAAAAAATTTTTGATAGAAGAATACTAATCTACGTGGTTCATCATTGTCGATCTCGCTGCCGGTCTCGAATGAAAAGGAGCGGCTCGATTACCAGCAATTAGATCATCGTCGTTGCGCGTACATATGAGAGAGAGAAAGAGACAAATGATTTGCGACAAAGTGATATTCTAATTTAACGTGGAAAGGAAAGATCTGAAGAATATTTTTCCATTGGCTAATTACTCATAATTGGATTGTAGATTTTGATGCAAATGCAATATCTTTATGGGTACAATTTAAAAGAGTTGTAACAAATATTTTATAGGATTCTAATTAATTAGTTACGCGATTAAACGCGTAAGAATCTGCAATCAGCTTATAATTAACGTTTCCACAACTTTGATAATGAAATAAA